CGCATTCGTATATTGATATTCATCACATCGGAAATCAAAAATATTTATGTTAATCGATTTCTTGCAATGCACGCCAATTTTTTTTTTGCTTTCTGCCATACTTTTATCATTTGTTTTTACATTGAATTAGAGTTTTCTGTTTGTTTGTTCTGTCAATTGTTTTTGTAAACTACGGTGAATTTGTAGTTAGTATGTTTTTGTAAACTACGGTGAATTTGTAGTTAGTATGTATGGTTACCAAATCTATTCAAAACTAATTGTACCAATGTTTTAATTCATTTTCTTCAATTGAATAAAACCCTCAAATATCATTTCAAGGTGTAGTTTCCAGGCCGATTATCTCTAAAAATCAAAACAATTATTAAAAAAATCTTAAAAAAGTGGTCGGCCAAATACACGCTTTTTTCAACTTTGACCAATTTTGAAAAATGTTGGTTCTAAAAAATGTGCACATTGGTTTAAAATTGGGTGCTCTTTCGATCTATGATAAAAAAAATCGTTATTCACACACGTCGGTATGAACTCCAATACATTTTTTGTTATTGGTGCTGCTTCTTCTTCTTCTTTACTATGGGCGCTACCATGTTCAAGCCAAACGTCAAATAGATGCGTTCAATGAAACGTCAAAATGCGCGTATGGCTAATTTGTTCTAAACGTGTATGAGACACATTTTTGAAATTTTAAGTTAATTCTTGCTGCATATTGAGCAATGCGAACAACAGCAGCAGCCAAAAAAACCGTTTGAGCAAGCAAGAGTTTTATGGTTTGCTTCCACGTACGGTATGTGTAGTTAAGTCTAAAGTGTGAATATGTGTGAAATATTATGGAAAGTCTACTCAAAAATTTAAGCACTTTTTGGGTCAATAATTGAAACGTTATAATAATTAGAATTAATTTAAAATTGTATTGTAAACTTTTGTGAATTTGTTCAGAAAAAATCAGGGTTTTACAGAGACAAATGTCCTCTTTTTTCTTGTGTAAATAAATAAAATAATTAAAAAACAACGTATCTTCTTTTGGCACCGATAGAAATCAACTTTTTTTTACTTTTTCTGTTGAGCCGATATATTTTTAATTCCTCGAAAATACATTTTATTAGCGCCGATAAAATACCGGCTGATAAAATTACTTTGTGATAAAAATACATGCGATAAATTTTCTGTACGTTTTTATAATTTCTATTTCTGTCGGCTTTTCTGTTTATTTGCAGTTGTTCACTAAAAAAAAAACAAAACTGTATATATTAGAATATATTTTGATTTTTATTTTTTCTTTGTTTTTGCTCGTCTCATTATTTTCATTTTTATTCAATTTTTAAGTTAACAAATATTTTTTTTATTCTAGTATTTGCGTTGATTGAGATTAAATCGTATGAAATTAAAAGTCATATTTCAAACGACATCAAATAAACATTAAATTTTGACCTATTGTTATCATTATTATTATTTTGGTTGTATTTTTTTTTTCTTTTTTATGCATTAACATTAGAATATATTTCTTGTAATACATTTTACGTGATTTTAACTGCTTTTATCTGCTTTAACCGGCTTTAATTGTCTTTCATATGAATGGTGTATAATGGATACGTTTAATTCCAACGTCTTCATCTTTCTAATACAACTTGATATAACTGTCAAATTGTGTCAAACCGTGTTAAGCATTGCTATTGAAACTTACAAACGGTTCATAAAGGTTCTTTGTAATTCTCATAATTCATGATTATTCGTGATTATTATTTTGCGAATGTGACGGAACGTGGATAGTAAACATATTTTTCGTACGATTAAATTTTTCTCAGTTTAACTTTTTCATATTTAAAAGTCTTTGAAAATGAGTTATCTTCCAAAAAAATGTAAGTAATACCCGGTAATACCACACAGTTATTGAAAATTTTAAACTCATTGCGTTTCTATTTTACAGTAACACGTTCTCTTTTGTCCGTCTTCGAAAGAGAGAAATTTGAAGAGCCGATAAAAGCAGCTAAATTGTTTTTAAACGTTCGAGTTCAGCTCACAAAATGTCCCGAACTCGAAGCACAGATCAGTTTGATGGAACCATCAAAAAAACCGAATCGTCGACTTTCAACTCCAGCCGAACGTGTTCGGTGCAAAAATATAAAAAAACGGCGGGTTTCAATTTATGTGCCAACAATGCCACAAATTGACCCGAGTGATGAGTTTGATGGCGCGGACTTACAAAATGGTATAAATCATACATAATTATCACTATTAATTGTATTTTTGATATTTTAATAGTTTTGCTACGTTGTTTCATTTTTAGATCACATAACTGCACAATTGAATGAAGTTGCACCAGATGCAAATGATAATTTAGATGTGGCGGCAGTTGAGGATCGAGCACTGAATGAAGTAAATGAATTTGAACATGTTTCAATTGAGAGTGACCCATCATTTGAAGCACTGGTGTATACCAGTTCATCGTCCGAAACTAATGACTTGGCAACAGATTCAACAAAGGTAGATAGAAAAGATCTGGCTGAATCAGTTTCTCTTGGCATTCAGAATCTCGGTAAGATTCTAGCACGTCGACACTCAATTCATTCGAAAGGTAAAATCATAATTGGCCGATATAAATTGCTTAAAGAAATATTTAGTCGTATTTATCGGCGCAGATAAAATAAAATTAGAGCAAATGGCGCCAATATTTATTGAATAGGAGACGTATATTTGTGGCTTTTTTACTTCAAACTTTAATGAATTTTCAGATGAATCACATGAAGAAGCGATCAATAATGCTCCTAAGACTCGAGAAAAGATGGACCGAGCTACTCTTGGTGATACTTTCTCTCTTGGATTAAAGAATCTCGGTAATATATTAGAACTCCGAAAGTATGCTGCTCCACAATTTCTAGTTCGGCAACAAGCTAATGATGTCTCTGATGAAGAAATTCTCGAGGAACCACAATCTGTGCAACAAGCCAATAAAATAAGTAGTGATGGTAATAGTATAAATATAATCCTATTTTGAATATGTTCTTAATTTATTCAGTGTAAAGCAGTGGCCCTACATATGTATGAGTGTATTTCAGTTTTTCACCGTTTCTATCGGTTTTCATATGCCAAAGATAAAAAAAATAATGGATATCATTTCTACTTTAAATTTCTACAAAAATTTCTACTTTATTCAATGGCCGATAGAAATGGATAGAAACTAGGCGAAACTAGGCCACCAATAAAAACAGGAATTTATTAAAAAAAAAAAAAAAATTGGATATTTCCTTTTTCATTGGCATGCAAAAAGAATTGTGAAATAGTTATACTCATGTATTTTTCGTATTTTTTCCCATTTTTATCGTTTTTAGATGAAAATTGTATCATAGATATATCAACACTTATAATTGGTGATAATGGAAATAGTGATGATACAAATAAGGAAAACGAAAGCCCCAAAAAATCATGGTACGAAGGGGTTGTTCATAAGCCGGTGGCTTTTCGTGCATTATCGAAGCGCAAAAGAAATAACTAAAAATAAAATACAGACATCACGCACGCTTACGCTCCAAACAATGTGTGTGAATGTCGGCGAATGCCGTTTTGTACATACAAAGACATACAATATATACGAAAAAACCGTTATTGAAACGCGTTAAAACGCGTTCAAATTCAACTTTCATTACCAGCATTATTCATCATTATTTGACCGTATTATCAGTCAGTGCTTGCACTTAATAGGAGATACATGGAAACATATTCACTCTCTTTGACGTTTTTGTGAAAAATTGTTGCATCATTTATATTGAATTCGTATAAAAGATTAATTTTTACTAAGTATTTTCGTATATTTTGAATAAATCGACGTTATTTATTGATAAATTGAGTGTTGTTCATTTGCATATCATATTTGTCACAACAATGAGCGACTTTCACAAAGTAGAAGCAATTATTGGTCGACGCGTTATCAGAGGAAAGGTAAATTATTTATTTAATATTTTTTAAATTAAAAACCATATACATATTATCGCATATTATCCAGGAGTTTTTATACGCCAAAAATAAAAATAGTAACCGGTGTTTCATATTTCTTTTCCATTAAGCGGCGGATAAATTTTTTTGGGTTATATGTGTATTTTAGTCGATTTAAGTATCAGAGCAGATAAAAATTGAAATACATTTTTGCATGAAAGATACGGAAAAATATCGGACAACATATCTTGCAATCACTTTGTAATGCTCATTTATTTTCTTGATATTTTATTCGCAAAATTTTTTATTTAAACAAACTTCATATTAATGGGCAAAAACAAGTTGAAAATGAAAACGAAGAAAATAAAAGTCCATGTTTTGAAGGTTTGATTCTGAAGCCAGTGGCTTTTAGAGCATCAAAACGCAGACGATCCAACTATACCTAAAACATTGTCACACAAAGATGTGTACATTTCTATCGGCCAGCATTTTTTTTAATTTAAACATTTTTAATGTACTGAAGAAAGACATTTTATAAATTTACCGACGATAACTAAAAATAATTTACCATCAACCATATATAATTATTCAAACAAATAGAAAAGAAAACCAAACGCATGATGTGAGAAAGGAATAACACGGCATCAGTCAGTTTGTCTCAAAGCGAATAGTCGACTCAATTCTTTGTTGTACAACGAGCAAAACGAACTAGAACCAAATCGAACTAAATACATAAACTAAAATTTACCGTAATACACGGTAGCACACATACTGACTCATATGCACCGACGCGCACTTATATTATTGCATATTTATGATGATGCTGGCTATTCTTATGCGTTCTTATGCGATTATCATCCATTATCATCAGTCGACTGTAGCCTTTCTCACAAGCAACCACAAGCAACACCGAATAACATAATTATCATTATCAAAAAACTTTAGAATATATGTTCAACATTTGTCAATTTTTGAAAATTATATCGGAATAGAGTGATATTACATCGGTATTGTTTTTCTTTCGACTTTTGCATATTTTTCCATAATTAAAAATTGCAATAGATAAATTTAAAAAAATGAGCGGGGCAATATATGAAGTCGAAAGCATCATTGACAATAAAGTTGAAAAAGGAAAGGTATCAATCGCTTTTTTTTTAGGTTGTTCATATAATTTTTGTTTTTCAACAGTCTATATGAAAACTATATCTTTTTTATTTGTTTTTGCACTGTTTAATTGTGATTTTTAGATTTATTTTAAAACAGTCATATTCCATCGTGATCAATTTTCGGTTCAATTTGTTTAATTTAGGAAAAATTTCGAGTTAAGTGGAAAGGTTTTTCCGAGAAACATGCAACGTGGGAACCCATTGAAAATCTGTTCGGTTGTTTGGAAATGGTAGAAGAATACCAAAAGAATAAGAAAAAAGGTGAGATATTTTTATCGGCTGCACATAAACGCACATAAAAAGTGATAAAACCGACTAAATGTCACTGAATATTTTCATATTTGTTTAAAAATTAAATCTTTTATTATTAAATTTCTCAGCTCTTGATCAGATTATAGGATGCGGCCAGCGCAATGGAAAAAAGTATTTTCTAGTTCGGTTTAAGCATGCAAAGGAAAATGAATTAATTGACTGGGATACTGCCAAGCAATATTCTTTGGACGTGATGGAATACTTTGGATCTCGACTTGTCTGGAATTCTGTCGAAAATCTGATTGATCCAGATGTCGATGATCATTTAATGGATGAAAATGAAGTTCCACCGTCAAGTCACACAAACAATTCACAGTTGAATTTGCAGACCGATATAGCAAAAGAAGGCACATCAGGAGAAGCTTCGACTTCCGGGCAATCCAACAACACATTTCCACCAAATGATATTGAATACGAATTCTAAAATCTTAAATAAATAACACTATTCAAATAATACGAAATAATAAATGCAAATTTGGCAGATAGAATTCATGACAATAGAGAGAATTTTTATTCATTTTAACCTCAATAAATTTTTAGTACACAACAGCTGTTTTTTTATTCATATCTGCCATAGATGAATGGATGCGTTTAATTCCAACCTCTTATTTTCAAATATGTACATCTGTCAAACACCATCAAACATTGATATTATTTGATCATAGTTGATGCGTTACAGTATTATCGGCTCTCGTGATTTCGAACCATTTCCAACATTACATTTATTGATATATTTAGTGTTTTTCGGTGTTTTTGAATCAGAAAAATGTTGGAAGCTACTGACAAGCTTCAACGCGTCTTGAACAACAGAAAACCGGTTCAACCTGGCAAGAGAACAATGATATTGCCCTATCATCCATCCGAGCCACAGCCAAAGAATCAAAAATCAACCTTTGAAAGAGAAATTGAGAACACCAATTGGCAAATTTCATGGATGGAACAATTTCACAAAAACCGTACGGATATTCAAAAAGAATATGAAGAAAGACAAAAAATTCTAAATGAATTGGTGGCCGATTACTCAAAGAGAGTATTTCAGAAAGATCGTATAATTGAAGAATTAGAAAAATATGGTTGCGAACAAGTGAAAAAGATAGAGAGACTCGAGACAAAATTAAGAGAGTCTGCCGAAAAGGAGCTTGATTTTGCAACCCGAAATTTGATCCTGGAAAACATATTGAGAGAATATGAGGAAAAGCAAATTGAAAACGCCGACAAAATTGAACAATTAGAGCACCTTTTGAATGTCACCAACGATACCATGGAAGTGGAGACCAATGACGTCGATGTGAAAACAACAAATCTGGTTGTCACTGATGCAAATTTTGTCCAACCAATCGATACCGTGGAACACACAACCGATACCATGGAAGTGGACACCAATGACGCCGATGTGAAAATAACAAATCTGGTTGTCACTGATGCACATTTTGATCAACCAACCGAGGATCAGATAGCCGATATCGTCAAGGCCAACACAATCGATCTGTCTGTCAAAGAGCAGCCAAAAGTCGTGGATCCTGTTAAGGAGCAACCAAAAGAACAGAAGGAGCCCCCCAAAAAAAGTAAGTCGGTCAAATACAAGTGCCAAAATTGCGATTATGCCACGAACAAGAAAAGCAGTTACACGGACCACACAAAAGAATTCTGTAAAGCGGCTAATCCAGATAAGGATTTTCCATGCAACATTTGCAACAAGATGTTCACGCGACGTGGCTTGCGCATCCACTTGAATAATTTCCTGACACAAAAACATAGTCGCCGTGGTCGGCATGCTGACTTCTCAATCGAAGATCATCGCAAATATACTGATGAATTGAAGTCAAATAAATGACTTCACACTTGTCGATCACAATCGCTCAATCAAATTATTATTTCATTATTATTATTATTATAAAGTTATTTCTATCTGCTTATTCTTTTGACCAAAACTGACAAAAAATGAAAAACTTATAACATGTTAAAATTTTCAATTAGAAACTAGAGAAAAAAAGTATTACAAACCAAAAATTGACAAAACAAAATCTATATTTGATTTTTTATTATTACGTTTCTCATTCAAATTATTTCTAAATATTTATTATTAAATATAAATTGACCAAAATACGAAAATCGATACTTATGTTGCGATATTGACTAGAAAAAAAGAAGTACCGCCGTATTTCGTAATTGAGGAAAAAAAACATAAAAAATGTTAGAAACATAAAAAAAATATTTTTAAAATCTACATCCAAAAAATACGGAATAAATATGAATAAAAATGTACTACCGAGAGACAAGGGAAAATGAAATATTAATGAATATATAGTAGTCAAAAGAAGAACAATAATGTGTTCAATTATAAACACTTTTTCACTAAAGTACACAATCATAATGTACATAATCTTTATATCTTAGTTGGTACAATAAATAATTTTTAAATCGAACAAAATTTGACTTTTTTATCTGCTGGGAACGGCTAGCGATCTAACACGACCCTTGGAAATATTAGATAATATTTTATATTTCAAACGACTTTTTATCGGCTGAAAAGAATCACGGAAAAAATATAAATGATTTTTATATCGACTAAAATTTGAGATTGATTTTTTTTTATCTGCTAGCGATCTAACACGAACCATGGAAATATTAAATAACATTCTATATGCTTAAGTACTTTTTATCGGCTGAAGAAAAACGTAGAAGAAACATACTGATAAATAAAATGTATATGTGACAAATAAAAAAAGATAAAATACATTAAATTTTTTTTACATATTTTATTATTGCCCTGAAAAATGCTTCGTTTTTAGAGCAGATTTTCCGTAAATTTTTGTATGGATAGATATTGTAGTTATTCGAGCGATATATGTTGCGTGCAATCTAATATATTCATCAATAATTAACAAAATGTATTGCGATTTGTGCTCTTTATCATGGGAAAAGTCAATATGTGCATATAAATTGTCATATCGAATTGCATTTAAAATATATGTATAAAACTCATTATAATTAAAATCAAAAATATCATCAAAAATTAAAAAAAATTTATAAATAATTTCGCATATAGCTACAGTGCTATTTGTTGGTCTTTGTGCCAAACCATTTTCAAAAAATAAACCATCTATTTTATCTTCATCATTTGTAAAAATATTTTTACATACGTCATTTGTACATAGTGTTATTCCACGTCGAATTTTTTTTTCTATTGTGCCAGCACGAAGTTTTATTGTGTACAGATCTTTGAAATTTAGTTCTAATTTAAAAAATAAATCAAGTTTCTCATTGGATATTTGAATTTGACGGTTAACTAAATTTTCTTTTTGCTTAGAAGCACTCGAGACAGTCAAAATATTTAAATTGTCTTGGCAGTTCGATTTTTCTGGCGCCTCAATTTCATTTAATATTAGCTGCCTGATAATTCCATTCAATTGTTCAGCCGTTGGATTCGAGTTAGATCCTAGCATAGAGCGAACTCTTGAAAATAAACTTTCAAGCATATCTTGACCAAAATAAAAGAATCGGATATTTTCGATTTTTTTCTTCAATACAAACTCCGTGTAAAAGAAATACAATGTGGATATGTTTATCAAAAAACCGAGAAATCCCGTAAATCGTGAAGTTTTTAAAATATTTACACCATTTAATTTTATTGATTTTATATATGTGGTAAAATATCTTAAAAATTCGAATATTTTTCCAGCATTTTGTTCGGTTAGACCCCTCTTGAATAAATTGTTCGAGTCAGAGTGCTTTGAATTAAAAATATCGAACACTTTGTAAAAAATTTTTGTAAAGGTAATGGTAGCAGTACAATTTAAAAATAATGGATCGCCATTATTTTGCAATATCTCCATTGATCTTGCTACAGACAAAGATAAAGTTTGAGCTGCGAGCCCAACGTTCATTTTATTTGAACGAAAATCTATATGTTTTCTGGTCAATTTATGACTAACCAGATTAGTATTTTTTATTAAGAGATTTTCGAAATATTTCCAGGCAATATTATCGCCATCATATTTCAATATTTTTTTATCTGCTAAGCAGTTTCTTACTAATTTTAACATGTGAGGTGGATCCAAAACAATTGAGATTCTTCGTTTTGTGACCGAATCTACCAAGAATGGTTTAAATTTAATTATATTAAAGCATGCCCCTAGGTGCTCGCAAGCAGAAAAATTAGTTTTTAACCCGTCAAATGCAATGCTTGTTAAAATTGCACCCGTTTGGTTTATTTTATCAAAAGAACTTTGGATTAATTGTGCTTTCTCTAATGTATTCAACGTCTTAATTAAAAAATATCCCAAAATAAGAGATTGCCCTGTCTGAACTATGGTCACTAAAAAGAATATCGCATTATTTGCAACGGGAACCTCATCCTTTTCGCGTTGCCCATAAGTGATCATACCACTAAAACATTTCTGGTTATGTATCCATTTGATGTGTTTTCTTGTGGCCATTTCATCGAAACACATACTTATGTATAGTTCCTTATTATTTTTGGCACGCTCCGAATTTGCTAATTCTGTTAACGTCATAAGTGTTTGATTGCAGAAGCCAGAAATAACATTTGCTCTGCTTTTTTGATGCCACAATTGTATAGTTCTAGGCGCTGGTAGTCGTTTCGAAAACTGTTTGCGTAACCATGTGTATGCGCTCTTACTTTTGGCACTTAAAACTAATGAAAACCTTCGTACGCTTGGCGCATACGGCCTTTTTGGATCAATTAAATGATCAATAATTTCTTTCGCATCACCCTAAAAATATTTAAATTCAAATAACTCTAAAAACTTAAACCAAAATAAAATGTAAATGAATTTTTAGAAAATCTCTCTAGATAAATCCAAATTAGTTTTTTTCTTACGTCTAATTTTAAATTTCTGAAATTGGATTTGTAACTAGTTCTTAACGATAGTTTTTTCTTGAACTTGTTGATATCTTTTTTCAAGTCCGTAATGGTGCTACGTTGTTCCAATACCTTACTGCGCTGTGATATAGCCAAATGCATAAGTTTTTGATTTTCAACCAGTAATTCGTGTACCATATGATTGTTATTTCTATCGGCATCCTGAGACTCTCTATCGGCACTTACAGTCGGTGATTCCAGCATAGATCTGTCTACTGCAGTAAAACACAGCCTACAAACAATTATTAAAATATACAAGTTACTTTGAATATATCTCAGCCGATAAAAATAGGTATTTAAACAAAAAAGTAAAGATAGAAATATATTTAATTGAGTGATATTTTCAGTATTTTATCAGCATTAATTATATTCTTAAAAAAAGAATAAAATTAGCTGTATAAAATTTTATCGGCGCATATAAAAGTCGATTCAAAAAAACTGTAAATGCAATACTGCACAATGAGCCAAGAAAACGAAGTCATTTTATCGGCACAGAATATTTTTGCAGCCGACAGAAATATCTTTTGCTATTAGTTATTATTATTTTTCAACTTTACTTTATTTTATTTTTTCTTACCTGGAATAACTGTGATCCAGAAATATATGCTTTCTTTCGTCCTGCATTTTATTCACGAATTTGGTTCACAAGCAAATGTTTTAATTTGAACCGTTTTCAACATTGCGTGTTGTGTCATATTTAGTACTTTGCATTTTTGACATTTCATTAAACGCACTTATTTAAAAATAGATATGTCAATATGGCTGCGCCCATAGTGTAAATAAGAAGAAGCAGTGTCATTTAAGCAACTGCATACCGGTGTTCACACATTTTTTTTAACAAAATTACGATTTTCATCGATTTTTCCCCAATTTTTAATAGTATGGTCATAAATGGGTTAAACCATCTCCACTGATTTTTTTTTTTAAATTTCTTCGCTGTATGCTCAAGGGGAGCTCAATGTCTTGCTAAAGAGCCACAAATGACGTATTATTGTTGAAAAACACTCGGTATATCATAATCTGAAAATTCTCCAAAAATCGAAAATTTCCGAAAAAAAATTTTTTTACTTTGGACAAAAAAATTGGTTCGTTACGAATTTTCCCAGACATGACACATACACCAAAACATCACAAATTTGGTCCCCAACAAACGCTCAGTTTTCCACCAGAAAACTAATGCTGTAATTTTTTTAATTTTGGTTGGTGTGAAAAAAGTCATGGTCATTTTTCCAAAAAAACAACACATGCAGCGCCATCTAGCGATCATTTTCGAAATTTTTTACAATCTGACTTCAGATTTGGATAGCTGAGGTTCGTACCTTTCCAACGACATATAGATCATTACCTCACCTTTCATATGCACAGAAAGTAGGCTATTCGAAGAAAAACTGAAAAAGTGCATTCCACTTTTTTTCGAACCTAGACCCCAGGCACTTGCGCGACGAAATCCAAAAATTCGAAGAGACATGTATGCTCAGTTTTCCATCTACTTTCGAATAAAATCGGTCTCCGGCGATTTGTCAAAAACTACGGAAAAAAATTTGCGGACACACAAAGAAACCATTTCAAAAATTTCGTGTTTTTCGTAAGATTTTTTGACATGATCATATCTCGGACACTTTTCGATCGATTCCAACAATTTTTTTTTTTCAACACTATCTACCCGAACTCCAGTTTCCGGAAATGTCATTTTTCGGAAATTTGTTTTTGGTTTGGGTGGTCAAAAATGGACAAAACCAAAAATTTACCTTTTTTTTGAAGCGCCGCCTAGCGGTCAAATTTTGAAATTTTTTAATTTTTTTTGCGGATTTTTAATTTGGTGCCCGAGCACTACTAAAATATGCAAAAACCCTTTTCCAAAAATCAGCGGTATCGATTTTCATTTCTTTACAGTATATATCTATTAAATATATCGAGAAGAGAGTATGTTATTCAGCGCTTATGGCTGAGTAATGTCTGAATAAAAACATACTCTCCTCTCGATATTTTCAATAGATATAGAGTGACGCAAAATATACATATTTCATATGTATGTTGGTATTGCGTCACTTGTCAATATTACTTAAACATTCAAACAAACTGTTCTAATCAGCGTCATACCGTCCCAATCCAACGGAACCTAAGAATCTACGCCGATGCAAACACAGGCATTTGAAACCACCACGAAAACAGTGAAAAAACGCGTTTTTTCTTAATACGCATCAAACCTAGACAATTGAAAAGTAACCGTGATGAAATACATACTCGGTCGATACAGTTGAATATAAAGTTTTACCTATTTTTTGTTTAACAAAAAGAAAATCACATTAACAAATTGCTTTATAAGAACCAGAGTAAGCGTACACTTTCATCGATGTTGATTTCACGATATGGAGGCGTTTTTAATGCGATCGCATATTGATGATGAACATCAGCTTCAGTAAATTTGCCCCATTCTTCCCAAATAATTTCATCGTCATCTTGTTCGAAAAATCGAACCTTTATATTTTCTTAAAAAAACATTTTCAATTCACATTTCTCACACAATTTGGTTTAATGGAATTGTTTTTATTTTCTTACTTTTTCCAACTTTTTCGACAAATATGAAAAGATTATCATCTCCAGCCGCACTTCCAATGTTCGAACTCATTCGACTTATTTTCAATTCTCCCATCAATACACTTTCTGCATTTGAACAAAACGAAGAAAAAACAAATTAAATTCTTTTCTGTACAGCCCCCACTACAAAGCGACTTACTTAAATTGTTTATGGGTGTTGAAAAAATGGGCTCACACAATCGCATCCATTTACCATAAACACGTTCATATGCCTCGAAACACAATGATACCTGATTCAAATTCATATCATTGAAATGTTTTTTGGCTTTTGATTGTAATAGATCCTTTTCGGATTTGGTTAAATCACATCCCTTTTCGAATTCAGCCCGACCCATTAATTTATCATATGAATCGTATTCGATGTGCTTTCGTGTCGTTTGTATGATTCCCATTCCTTGAAATGTTGCTTTGTATCCATGTAATTCTGATACCATTGCTTCGTGTGGATCTTTTTTATCATCGTTGCCACAACGAACGACCAGACTGTGCGAATGGGGAAACGGTGGCTCATAGCCCGGTTTTAAAATCTGATACAATGAGCATCGTATCAATGCTTCGCCGGTGAAATTATGTAGACGAACGGCTGGAAATGTTTTTTTTGAATGTTGTCCGGTGAGAACACCATGGGTTCCATGCATTTCGGATTTATAACGAAAACGAAACTTATCGATGGGCTGTTCCATTATCTCTAAAAATGGTTCATCCATTTTTGTGTTCATCGAATTCACAAATTATTCTGCAAAAATCAATTTATTTAGAAGATTCACTTAAATTGTGATCAAATCACCATATTACTATTGGACTTCGATGATATTTGCAACTGACATGAAGATGTTGACGATAGCAATGACAGCGAATTTACTGATTTTTTTTTAAATAAACAATATGAGCGATAAAATGTTTGTCTTCGATTGCCTTATCAGTGGAAATTTAAAATTAAAATTTTATCTGAATTTTGTATTTTCGATACACACAAGTAATGAGCTTTGTTTGTGCAAACACTGATTTTTGCAAACACTTTGCCAAAAATTATGCTGAGCGTTATTGTTTATGTTCAAATTGTTATTCACTTTGAAAAGTAGCATTCTCATCACTGAGCTGACTGGAATGAGTCATTGAAATAATTTCAGTGAAAAAAAGACATTGTAACAAATCTGATTATTTACACAGAAAATGAATAGAGAAAATTGCGCGACATGCAAAAAAGAGGTGCGAAATGATTTGTGATGAAATTGATTTTTATATTGTAGATAAAATTGGTCTGTGTATATTTGACAATATGCGTGTACGACCAACAATACATACATTTCATCGCTATCAACTGCATCAACGGTTGATATGAATTGAACGGATGGTGGTTTTTGCTTCGTTCGATCGCAATTTTCCACACATTACATATTTATTTACAAGTAAATTCTCTTTCTTTCTTTCTCTTTTCATTTCTTTTCTTTCTTTCTTTCTTTTTCGTTGTTCGATCTTCGTTTTGTATATTCAAAATATCTGCGGTATTTTCTTTTTTTATTCAAAAAAATTTGACAGGTAGTGAAGATTCTTTACCTAGTGAATTGCTTTCATCACAATTAACATAAACGAAGCAAATTCGAAATATATAAATTCAAATAAAAACTACAAAAAAACAATCTATGGAATAAACATGTAGTCAAAAATTATGAAATGACAAAAAGCAAATAAATAAATTTATACTTTCAATATTTATTTCTCAAGAAAATTAATTGTCTCAATTTTGATCAAGGGTATTTATAATTTATTCTGAGATTTCGTGAAAGGTAAAGGTTAAGTATGATTACAGTTCGAAAATCGTCTACAATAATTCAACTATTTAGTATGATTTGTAGTGTTTCATAAATGGATAGTTTTTATCTGCTCAGCTGAGTGCTCAGCCAGATATGTTTCTGTGTACAATACACACAAACATACCTGGCTGAGCGCTCAGTTCAGCAGATATATCTACCCATTTATGAAACACTGTCATTTTCAAAGGATGAATAAATTCCCGATGAAAAAGTGCCGTCAGCCTGTTTGAATTATTCCAGTGGATAAAACGTTGTATTGGCTGACTTCACGTGAATCCGTTTTTATGTTTTGTGCGGTGGTCACTTGTCTTTGTGTATAGATCGTTTGCATTGGCGTTTCTGTTTGTGTTTACATCTGATTGGTACTATACATTAAAAATTTAACACTTCGACGGTGAATATTGCGAAGTTTTCAACTTCTTGTTATATTTATCAAAAAAACTGCCGTATTAACTGTTTTACCCCAGAGTCCCTTTTCTAAGATCGACTCCAACCAATTGCGAGGCTAAAAAATGTGACGCTGTGTGAATAGATTCGGCATACAAAAGGACTGATATCAATTTGAATGCCGCTCAAAAGAATAAACAAAATTCTGGATAGAACCAAAAGTGTTATAGTTAACAACATTTCAAAAATAAATCCACAAAATAAAACGAAACGTAAAATGCATTTTTACGAGCATAAAAAAATAATCACATTTATATACAAAATGAATTGTGCGCAATTTTTGTTTCATATAATTTCTAGAGAGAAAAAAACATTACATCGCCATAGTTCAGTCTTCAATTGTTGTTATGTGTCATTTTATTCCAAGTGATAAGATTTGTGCAAGTCTTTATTTACTTCAAATGATGCCCTTTCGTTTGGAGTTATCACAATGTAAAACAAATAAAGAAACGTTCATTGCATTTAACGGACTCACTTTATTCTGTAAATCATCAGTTGTTGAGTGAATACAATGAAGATCACTTTACTAGTTGTTTGCGTGATATTTTCCATTGGCACTTTATGCCACTTGGTTGCTGGTAGTTTCGATTCAGCTGGACCGATTCAAATTGTGTCACCACACAATCATTCATTTCATTTCGAAGTGGATGAATTACAGCGTATATTGAACTCGGATGACATCAAAGATCGTCATGTGGTTGTGGTTTCAATTAGTGGTGCCTTTCGCAAAGGAAAAAGTTTTCTGCTAAACTTTTTCTTGAGATATTTATATGCACAGGTAATAAAATGAAGTTGCTACTACATTTATTGAATTTTAGAATTTTTTTGTCTTGTTTGATAGTGAAAATCGAAATGATTCCTCGTTTCTATTCAATTCTAGTATGAAAAGCACAATGTCACCGATTGGATCGGAGAAAAACAAAACAACGATGTATTGCTTGGATTCAAATGGCGAGCCGGTCGACGACCGGAAACGTCTGGGCTTTTAATGTGGTCGGACATTTTCACCCATGACTTTGAAAATGGCGAAAAAGTAGCGATCATATTGCTTGATACGCAGGGCATATTTGATGGCCGAAGTGGAATTCGTGAATGTACAACGATTTTTGCATTAAATACATTGCTGTCTTCGGTGCAAATCTTCAATTTGATGCATAACATTCAAGAA